GCTTATATGTCTCCTACTAAGGGGTGGAAGTTACGATTTTACGCCTCATTTTGAGCCCAAGGTTCGATGTGAATGTGGGAAACGGCTCTTGTAGACTAGTGTCACTCCATCTCACCCAGCAAACTCTCGCAGATTCTGCCAGACACGCAGCCAAAAGGCCGTCTGGAGTGCACGGCGCAGTCAGCAGGCCCACATCACTGTCTCATGCAACCATCAGCAAATCCCACCAAGAAATATAGCCCCTATATAAGTACAATATAAGGAAAAATGGGGAGAATATGAAGGTTATGATAAGCCCTGGATTGTCTGAAGATGATCTCCTGTGGATTCTCCTGTATTCAAGTTCTTTGATACCAGTGGCTGCTGCTGCCGTATCCCCATTCGGGCTGTTGCTTGTGGAGTTCGATATTGTAATCCGAATTGACCAAATTGCCCAGTTGCCACATGCTTGCTTGACCTTCGGGATGCTTTCGGCATCAACTGGGGCTTTGGCTCAGTTTCAAATGATCTGCCTTGCCAGCATCCAGCTCACTTGATTTCTTCGCATGTAGGAGCTTGATTCTTCCAGCTTTGTGCACTCTGCTGAGGTTCCGAGGACTAATGCAGTTTTTGTCGTTAAGCCTTAGGCTGCAAACGGTGTGGAGGGGGTACCCCGTTTCGAGGTGTACAGGTGGTCGCAATACCTTCCTTCTTGGGTCTGTTCGCGTCGAACCGCGACTGTCACGTGAAATCGAGACTTTTGGTTCCTGGATTTGTGCATCGCGCCACGACGCTTTTGCTGGATCAGCTGCTCTAGCGGTTATTCCGGTTACTTTTCCAGAAGTGTCGGTTTAGGTGTGCTGAGTGCTGGGTTTCAGGACCCAGGGTGGCCCAGGCTCTTTAAAGTTTTGGAAAGCTACGCTGTCGTGGGTAGGTCTGGCTTAAAGGGTGTTGATGGTCCCGTCCTTGGCAAGCTAAAGCGGCTCGCCTTGCATGAGTGCGGTATGGTGCTCTTGAATGTGCGTGATCTTTTGTCATGGCCGCTTCTAAGCAAGCCTAGATCATGGGCAAATTGCAGTTTTTTCTGCATGTCCGTGATGCGAGCGGGAAGATGGGTGACTGCGCATATTATTCTAACTTACAGCATTTCGAGTGCTGCCGCACACGTAGGCTTGTCGTCTTTGCACTCGGCCAGTTATTAAGTCGGTTGTGTTGCCAAACCCGCTGTTTGGTCAATTGCATTACAACTTGTGCTTCTGCATTGTAGATGGTGGATAGTCGAAGATCGCACAGGGCAAACAACAATCACTGTCCGACAAAGTTACGGCCAGCGGCGGTTTTGCGATCTTGTCTTGCGCAGGCTCCATGTTTAAGCATGCGTCAACTGAGTTGTGCGCGTGTCCTTGAAGAGGCCATTGGACCTGGTCTGACAATTTCTTGGGGCGTGGCATCATGCTGTGACTTGGCTGGGTTGGAAGAGGGTGCAATCTTCTCTTGGAGCAGCAAGGACTATGAGTTACTTAAGCAGGCCCCAGCCGAAGTATGCTAGCATTGCAGTGCTCTACATCTCCAACTTGGAGCCACATAGGATGGCCTGTTATATTTTGATACGCATAGGAGGCCAACATGGGAGCAGCATGCAAGGTTCCGTAAACTCTTTGTCGCAGACACTCCGCAGGTGCTGCAACATTTTGACGGCAAGACAAGTCTCAGTTATTTTCATTTCCCAAAATTAAGTGAACATGATACGCAATACACCCGCAGCTGGACACAGACAGCGAAGGTTCTACGCCTTCACATCCTCTGCAGAACCTCAGTTGAAAGAAGGATGGAGACCAAGCCTAAGTGTTCGCATGGTGTAAGCATTGGCTCAGGAATCGACTCACGATTTCTTCTTCGTCAACAAGACGTATGCCGAAATCAAGCCAGTTGCGGGAGCGGTTTTTGGAAGTAATCCATTTCCAATGAAGTTCATCAGTGAGGACGAATGGGACCGAGTGGGTAGCTACATCCTGCGGCGCGTCGTTTACGGAGACGGTACTCCTCACCCTGTGTTTTGGTCAAAGTTTCTCAATTGGTACACTACAACTTATCCCGGCCGGAACATTGTCACCACGAGCAGCAACAACGATTGCCTGCGAAAATGTCAGTATCTTGCGCCTTGCTTCCTTTGCAGGCCTCTTTGCGGTGCAGCATGAAGCAATTATAAGAAGTTGCACTGCTTCGACAGCAGAAGCTGTGAAGCGTACATGCGGCATGCGCCATGTAAGAATTCACTTTCAGTGACAACAAACATTGACCCCATTGTGCACCCAGTGCAGTTGCTAATATGCGACAGATGCAGGTGCCAAATTTTAACACATGTGAATGCCGTTTTTTGCTGCTTTCGTGTTGAACGTGATTTGGCATTGGTCAATGTTCGCGGGAGATAATGATAGGATGGGCGTGATGTCGCCGATCCCGGAAGCTGGCAGACTTCTTGCGAAAGAGAGTTGCATGGCTTTATGCTGTGTCCGGAATTCTTTACATGCTTGTGAGTTCGGGTGTGGCCCAGGTGCAAATGTGCGACATTGCCTTGTCAGTGGAGCCAGCAGCCCCGAAGGCAGACCTTGCTGTCACTTTCATATGCTGATGGATTTTGGCTTTTTCGCTTGTCTGTCCTTCACGCAGTTTCAGCTGTTCAAAGCCTGTCAATCCACATTCGTATAATGGCCCTTATCACTACATCGCCGCGGTGGTTTGCCTGCAGAGAGCCTGCCGGTTTCTGGTTGTCCTGTGGAAGCCGTGCCCCCCGCAAAATGCAGATAGATTTCTGAAGTTTCGCTCTGGCGGATATCTGCACATTCCTGAGCGAGAAAGTTTTCGGGCTTGAGAGGGTGTCGTCATGCCAGAGCTTGCATGCTGATCCGTCTAAAAGGACGTGCTGGTTATTGCTGCTTGGTGCAGCATCGCTGCTTCTCTTCAACGAGATTAGGCAAAGTGCGATGACCGGTGCTGCACTACGACTGAGATAGTGTGGACAGAAGATGTGGCATGCTTTGTCACCTGAGGTTGGCACGGGCATCCCGGCAAATAGCAGCCCATGAGATAAGCTTCTATGAAGACCAGATTATGAAGGCCTTGCCATGCTTGGGGGGCAAGGCTTCGAACTTCGACCAGGATCTTTGTGTGCTCTCTGCAAGGCTGCTTCTGCAGGGAACCCTGCGCTGCAGTTTGACGACCGATGGTTCATGAAGCATTGCCACTGGGCTTGAAAGCAGTAGCAATTCGAACTTCTACTGTCGTTCTTGTCACAAATTCTGCTGTGAGAAGTTCAGGTGTAGTCGGGGCTTTTCAGGTCTTGATCTTTGTTCAAAGATATGAGGCCGTAACCTGGCCCTGGCATTGGAGGCTTAAGCTAACTACATGTCAAGACAAGTTCCTCGTCGCTTGAGGAGGCATTTGGAACTATATGTTTCTGACGTGCCGGTCCCGTTCAACTGCTAAAACATTGAAAGCCCGAAGCAGTGAGTGAACAGTGAGAAGAAAATGAGAATGAGGGTAGACAGCAAAGTGGTTTGAAGTCAGAAAAACATCTGAGAAGAAAGTGAGATTGACGTGAGCATATGTTGAGAATTGACTGGGCCAATGTGAGAATAACAAGAAAATGAGGCTAGAAGAAATTTGTAGAGTGGAAAACCTTGGAAGGATGTGGGCAGCGGCCTGGGGGTTGGCGGAATCTCCCAGGAAAGCCCGCTTTTCGCCTCCAGACCACCCTTGGAAAAGTGATTCAAACAGTGAGTAAATTAAGACTGGAATGCGAATCCATGGAAAATCTCCCAAACCAAAGGCCTCTGCTCGCATCCCAAGGTTTTCCACTCTTTCTCACTTTATTCTCACTTATTTATAAGTTCAGTCTCACGTTTTGCGCTGCCTTCTCACCTTCTCATGTTTTTTGCATTTCATTCGCACTTTATCCTTGCTTCACCTTCACGTTACTCTCATTTCGGTTTGAGTTTTGCTCATTTTGTCCATGTCACCTGCGATTCCTGCCTCCTTCCATTCTCGTTTTGTTTTCTTGTAATTCTCAATTTGGTTCTTTCCATGATTTCCAACCTTGACAGGGGAGATGCACATGGTAATGGTATGCTGGCTGTCAAGATGAGCCACCTGCATTTGCCAGGGCTAGCTGACCAAGTATGTTTTGAGCACTGCTCGTTCTCCTAAACTTAAACTGTGCTTCAGTGTCTTATGGTGGGGGGAAAGCTTCTTGCGCGCTGCTGGTGTGGTTTGTGATTTCAGACACCCAGTTTCAGGAAAAACGGGCGAAGTACCTGTCAGGTACTCAAGGCTCTTTTTGGGTCTCAGTTTGGTATTAGGATGTGATGAGGAGGTCCCACTGCCCGTTTGAAGCTTGGATAGGAAGAAACATGTTCAGAGAGGCACCCCCCCGGTTGGCATGTCAATGCCGTTGTGCTTCTGACATTGCCAGTTAGCCGCGTAAGCAATCTGATGGTCTGGGGAAGGTTACTGGTGGCTTGATTGTCCTGTTTGTCCAGTGTTCCTAGCTTTCATAACAGTTCAATTCTCCTCTCTAAAGCTCCGACCGCATTTCATACCGGGCTAGGGTAATGTCGAGGGCATGGCTGAAGACTGCTCACAGGCGACCTTTCTGAGTTTCACGCAGACAAGATCTGGCTGAGACCGGAGTTCCGCCACAGAAACTTGCCCAAGCATTTAACCAATCATGGATTTCAGCTTTGACGCACCTGATTTACATGATGTGCTTCCAGGCAAGGATCTCTCAATCAAACCTCATTAATTAGGGATTGTACCTTCCTGTGTATCGCTAGCATGCATTTGGGAACAAAGGCTGTTGTAGAATGAAGCTTGGCTTTTGGGTGCAGCATGGATGAAGCCTTCAAACTGTTCATGCTTGGTTTCCTGGCTATGACAACACGCTGATTCGCATAAAGAAGCATGCGGTCCAGTGTGCTGAAGGCATGAACCGCAAGATCGACGCCACCAGGTGGAAACCGGGCATGAAGTGTGGCCTGCTGAGTTTTCCCTCATGAACAGCTTTCATACATTTTCACACCCTGCAGAGTCACCTGCAAAGGTGCTGAGAATGGTGATGGCCGGCCACCGCGATCTCCTCAGCAATGCTTGGCCAATCGTGGTTGCTTGCATTTGGGCAGCTCTGCTTGGGCATGAGAACTGGATGGCATGTATTGCCTTGCCAGGCACATCCTGAAAGACGTTGCATACGAAAGTGACTGCGCAAAACTGTGGCTTTGTTGCAACAGAGATAGATGCCTTGTGGACGCCCGGAAACAGCACGATTACATGTTGCTGCATGTTGAAGCGTGTGTTGTGCTGCCTTTCTTGCAGCAGGTGCTGGCAGCAAGCGGAGCAGATTCGGGGAACGGTGGTATGCTGCGAGCATCACGAGGTGCAGCTTGTGGCACCTGCGCTGAATGAAGAGAGTCCAACTTGTCTTTGCGCCTTCCCCTTGGCAGGACAAGGATCAGTGCGAGGTGCGAGTTGGCTGGCAAGCCTTGCAGGAGTCAGACTACGCTAAGAATCTTGCTTGCATGAAGCTGCTCCTGATCCCATGTCTTGCTGCATACAGTGTTAGCATTGATGGTTTGAGAGCTGATCAAGGCCCGTGACGTTTCTGCAGCTTGTGCCCGCTTGTAAGACCTGATTGTTGGTGTTCCATGATGCTGACGAGAAAGGAATTAGACCACTTTGTTTAGAGTCAGCTATGCACATGAAGAATCGGGGGTTTGTGGTTTTATGGTATAGGTTGTTTATTGGTTTGGGGTTTGAGGGTTTAGGGGTTTTACGGGGTTAGGGGTTTATGGGTTGAGGGTTTAGGGGTTTCGGCATTTGGGGTGTTAGGGTTTAGTGGTCTAGGGTTTTACGGTTTAGGGGGTGGTTTAGGGTTTTAGGGTTTTGGGTTTTAGGTGTTTGGGGTTTAGGGGGCGGATCGGGTTAGGGGTTAGGCTTTAAGGTTTGGGTGTTTAGGGTTTCGGGGGGGGCTTCCAGACAAGGAGCGGGGAGGCAAGGGGCTTCTGCATAAGGAGGGGGGGGCTGCAAGTTCCCGGATGCACTTTAAGTTGCACTCTCAGTTGTTTGCACTTTGTCAGCAGGTATGTGCACGACAGCCCAAGGAATTTGCTTAACGTGAAGAATTGGGCGATCTTCGGACGTCACGTGTGACTTGCTCCAAAGGTAGACATGCTCGGACGCTATGGGATGTTTCCTGGACGACCGAGCCCGGTCTTCATATGAGCTGAGAATAGCGGAGCTCTTCAGGAAAAAAGCGCGGCTGTTGTACGCACCCGACTATTCCAGCGATGTTGGAGAGGAAGATGATGCGGCATCTGCTTCTTGCTTGCACAGTGCCCACATGACACCAAAGGCACGGCCTGGAAAAACAACTTAGGAAAGCGAGCAGATCCAATTGGCAGAAGAAGGTTATTTGGCGGCATCCAGCTCACTCCAGTGATTGACCGGTCCTATAAGCTGGAGAGCGCCCTGTGAAGTGCACCGTCGCAGCAGATCTCAGGGCGCGAGCACGTGCGAAAGCTGGTGGAGCAGGTCAATCACTTGTCAATTGAAGCTTGGCCAGTATTACCAAGCATTGGCAGTACCGTGTAGCCTGGGAAGATTTCCCTTGAAGGATGGAATTCTCGACCATTTGCTCTCGTTCTATGTCTGCATGCGATATCTGCCCGATGAGGACGCCCTGCCTGCAAAGTAGCTTGTTACGTGATCTGCAGTTATGTCGTCAGAACAGCCATGCCTAATGCACATGTAGAACAAGACATCTGAACCATAGCTAGCTATGCTCATCAAGTCAAGTCTGGTATTGCAGGAGTTCGTGGATCTTGCAAAATATGAAATGGACAAGGCACGCTCGCTCGCTCGCTCTCGCTCTCACTCTCACTCTCTCTCTCTCTCTCTTTTTCATTCTCGTTCGATCGGTAGAGTATTTGCGAGTGTGCCTCCATTTTGCTGCATCCTGCTACAATGTTGGCATTTGTTCCGTGCCCAAATGTCTGAAGTGTATCAAGGGTAACAGTCATGGCAAAAACTCTCATGTCAATGTGGAGCCAGAGGCAGTTTCTGTCGGCAGGTGGCGGTAGACCACGCGACGCCGGCCCTTAGCCGCAACGTGACCCGTGGCCTGGCTGTTGATTGAACGCTTTGCGTCGCCTTGCTTTGTGTCCTTTGAGCAGCGGTGCTCAACTTTTGCCGTAACGACAATGTCCAGGTGAAGAAGTCTACGAGGAGTGCCATGGCGAATGTGTTGTACTGTTGAGCCCATAAGCCAAACATTCCACATGCATGGTTATGTCATGCATGCTGGATTCAATTCATCGCTCGTTTTCTGACTAACTTTTGCGCTCTTTGTCCAGCTTGCCCATCCTGAAATATTCACAAACTCTTGCCGAGTGGCAGACAATTTGAGAAACATGCCGCAGCAACGTGTCATCTTCATGGTGTCCCAGAGATGCTAGCAAACTGAGCATGCTCACACAGCTCGAGGTACAAGAAGGCCCACCTTTTCCCCTTGCGCTGTAGCAACTCGGCCCAGACAAGCAATGTTGTCACAGTGTCCTTTCCAGCGAAACCGCGAATTAACAGGAGTACAGATTGGAGCTGCTCCTGAAAAGTAGTGACCGAGGCAACTCTATCTACGTCCAGAGGGCCGAGGAGATTGACAAGCTGACTCTGGCTTTGTGCCGTGCCTGTGAATGAGAATGTGTGCAAGAGGGGTTCGTCCTGGGAACCAAAACCGTGGGGGATATGCTCGTGGCGCGGAGGTCACATCGGGGATGGTGTGTTTTTTTGCATCATTCTTGGCATGGAACCGAGAAAGGCACAAGTTCAGGATTGATCGGCAACGTCTTGGGACGGCAGTTGTAGAAGAGTGAGGACCGTGAATCCTTTTTGAGCTTGGGGGCACTTGGTGTCCAAGTCAGAGTGATGTTTGGATGCTTGTGCGTTCCGTTGCAGACTTGATTCTTTTGTCTGCAGTGTTCATTTGCAGCAGCATGGTTCACCTCCATTGGGAATGGAGAGGGCAGGATGAAGGGGAAGCTGTCAGCATTCTTAGAATGGTTTGTTTCTGGCTGATCGGAGGAGAGTCTGCAAGATGAGCCAGTGTCAAGCAGAGGGGATGTGCATGGTAGCATGGCGTGGAACACAAAACCGCTGCTTCTCATGCTGACTGCTGCTTCTGCTGCTGCCATATTTATGTCAGTATAGTCTGCAGAAGAGCTCTTAGAAAGGCCATGCAACTGCCTGGCCTATTTGGGGAACACTTTTTGGCAAAAGGCAGACCTTCGGGCTGAAAGTGTGTGAGCTGAAGAATCCAGAGCTTAAGATTGAGGTCGCTACTAGTGCTCTTGCTCAGTGTCGGCAAGCACGAATCCTTCGCTGTTCAACTCAAAAGACTTGCTGACTGATTGTGGTCAGCCGGTTGCACGGTTGACCGGTGCTTGTAACTGCGGTAGCCTTGCTTGCATAAGTGCAAACGCCGATTCGCAATACTGAAGGATGATAATTTTCCAGCTCGGAGTCGACGCCGCAAAGTCAGCTTCAATTTGCGGCCAGTTTCAGGTTATTATGTTTCTGCCAAGCGAGTAGGAGGTTTGCGTACTGAAGCCAGCCCACTACCCTTGCCTGTGTCTGGTACACAAGTTCCTCTGAGGATACTTACCTGGCAGCTGATACTCTCCATGTCCCTAATAACCGGTGTATTGACTTCCAGCATATTTGGCGAGTGAGCCACGCATGAAGCGTCCCAAGTTACAACGGTTCCTTCCATGTTGCCGCTTCCACAGGCAGATTTCAACACTCATGCATTCGTTTCACGCCAATTGCTATTCCAGTATGTCACTTGCCACCGGCCCACGTGCTGACTTAACATGAACTTATTCCATATTCCGCAGCTTAAGCTGCAACACCTGAAAGCCTGCCTTGGGCTCTGTCGTGAGAATGTTCGGAGGGAGTGAAAAGAAGACAACAGGTAGGCATGAGCATGACAACCATCAGTGCTGTTAGGAATACGTCGACTTCCAAGCTGAATGAAGCCTATCGATATGCTGTCAACGTGACCAAAAAGGCTCCCGGCCCGGCTGGCATTTCACATAGCTCTCAATGGCCCAGTTTGCAGGGTGAGTCTTTATTGTCAGGCCACGCGATCCTTACAAGACATGGACAAAGAGCTGCGCCTCAACATGTGGCCTGGCTGATTCAGACTCGCGCGGTTTCATGTAGGGTGGTTCCCACCGCCAGGTCTGACCCAGACCGCCACGATTCGATCTACATGCAGGAGAGCTATATTGTGTGGCTGCAGCTGCTTTCATCTTAGGTCTTACCTGATGCCTTAGACTTTGTAGTACTCCACCAGGAATGTTCTATCTCAACTGTCCTTATATCTGCTCAGTGTTCAGATCAGCGAGATTTTAGCACCACCGTCATACCACAAGCGCTGCGGAGTAGATGCTTCCAATGGTGGTCCAGGACATGCATTGGACTGTCAAATCTTCACTGCCTTGGTCAACGTTTCTGCGACCTTCCAAGCAGTACTCGCAGCTTGGAATGTACCTGCAAGCCTTTGCCGATCCAAAGTTCCATTTCGTCATGCGGCCATGGGTGACGTGAAGCTAGCACTGGAGTAGTCACCTGTGACTTGTACTGATGGGGTGGATCTGTGAGTGAAATGGTTTTCAACGGGTCAGGCACCATGTCTCCAAGCCGAAGAACCTGTTCATGCTTTGCTTCGGGCCGAGGGTCGCTTCGCATGGGGCTCAGAATAGGATGGTGATGAGGATGTTCGCACTTTTGTGCACTGCAAGGTAGATGGACCTGTCTGCCAGGTACCCACACAAGCGTGAGGGAGGACAACATATCCTGGCTGAGCCGCTGCGTGATTATGCCGAATGTGCAAGGGCCGCCAGAATGCTGTGACTGCTTCCTGCAAAAGGCATGATATAATCAGTATGCAGGGCTTTTTTGATCGAGTTTGATTTCAGGACATGAACATGGCTGGCTGCAACGGCTTCTGGGATCTTGAGGACAGCTCAGCCAAGAAGGCTAGATCAAAGCACTCCTCAAACTCTGAAGGATATCACCGAGCACATGGCCCGAATCAAGAAGCTATTTGCACCTGAGATGTGCTTCGAGTACAAGCTCCGCTCCTTGTGCCGCAATAGAGTTCAGAGCAGAGCAGAGCTGAGAGATTCACTTAACCGCTGGTTGTAAGGAAAAGATTTGAAGCTGAAGTTTATGGAAACCTTTGTCGCCATGTCACTTGGCTGATGGTTACCAGCTTCCAGGATCTTCAACATGTTGGACCTCTAAGGAATCAGCAGTTCGAGCAGGCGATGGCAGGAAAGTACACTCAGACGCCTCTTGTCTGAAACTGGCAAGCTGCAGCGATGCCAGCTACGAGCCGACAGCCAGGATCGGAGAGTTGGACCCTACTCGCTCGAAGAAGCTGGAGCACTTTTTTGAACGTGGCCTGGCTTTGTCAGATGCCGTAGTACAGAAGTTGGTTGACACTGGCAAGCCGCATGCCACATTTCCTGTTTTTGGAAGGTACTGCTGTGCACGATTACACTGACGAGATGAGCGCAGAGCGCTCTGTTCGCAATGGCCCCGCAAGTTACTGCCAACAGGCACATGCTACAGCGACTTTGTTTGGCGCATTGCTTGGTTCAGTGCAACTACAGGTAGGCACAGGCACTGCCGGGTTCAAAATCGGCAGCATGAACTTGCCTCATCCAAGGAAAGCTTCCGGCAAGTATGAAGACTTTTCGAAGCTTATGGCCAAGGCTTCCAGAGTAGTGACAAAGCCGCTGGGGATCCACGTGCGTTCTGTCTGAGGCACACAGCAAGTGGGTGATTTGTGGGGCTCCGTACTCAGAGCCATATGCTGGCGCACTTGCTGTGTTGCTTTGCAGACGGCTACAAGCTGCAAGTTTGGGGGAGTTGCAGGCCTCAGTGGTCTGATCTGAGGCTCACAGCAAGGTGAGTGAGGATGCCTTTGGAGTGGAAGACAACTTCTTTAGGAGCCTCCGACTTGTGTTGTCAAGACGAAGGCCTCTTGAGCCTTCACTCCAAGCTTTGTACGTGCCCTGAAATCTGAGGAACCCGAAATCGTATGAGAAATGGTGGGGGCCCAAGTCAATGCCCATGTGGGCCCTTGTCAAACCCATGGGCATTTACTCTCAGGATTGGCTCCATGGCGGAGGAGAACTCGCCTGCATCTCGGCAGAGATTCACACAACCTATTACAGTTTGCGGATTCTGCTGCGCAGATCTCTAAAAAGGGGGTCTTTGTCTGAGACTTTTGAACTAGGGTTCTGCACAACCTGGTTGGGGTCTCCATTCTGGGTTTGAAAGCTCTGCCTGAATTACTTGAGCCCGGGGCTTGAACTTGAGCCGAGCATTTGGACTTGGATTTGAATCCAGGAGTGCAAGACCCTGGATGGGTGCGAGCCTGAGTCTAACTGTATGACTGGATCTCTTTTTCGCTGCTCTGCTGAACACTGAGTTGACTTGTAGACTTGCCGTGAACCAAGTTCAATTGACTGCGTCAAATGTGCCATTGCCGTGAAAGACAAGCACAACTGCCCTATTCGCCTGGATGCAACTTCTCTATGCCAGTGCTTGCAGTTTTGGGAGTTGCTCCACGTGCATGGCATCCAGCAAAGTTTGTTGACATCTGTGATTGCAGTATCGAAGGATCACGAAGGCTACACAGAATCAGTCCATGTTGGGTCAATGGGCAGAAAGATGGGAGACATATTTCCTCTTGATAAGTAACTTTTCTGACGACAGATCTGTCTGTTTGCAGTTAGGGATGCCATCAGAAAGTCTTGCTTATTTTGGCTCTCCTGGATTCTGTCGATGAAAGTGAGCGCTTAGCTGTAACGCTTCCAGAACGTCTGTACCACATGCACCTGTCTATATTATCATGTCTTCTCTGCCCCAGGTGAAGCTGCAGGACATCTACAGGGCCCTCAAGCGAAACGCATATCCGTTCCTCGTGAGCGAATACGGAGCGCCTTTGTCAATGTTTGACATGTTCATGCAACATACGTCAACGAGCTCACATTAGTGCAACCACATCAAGTTGAGTGCCTACGGTGTCAATGTAAGATTGCACGTGGCCGCTAGTGTGTGCACCGGCGTCCTGTGTGTGAGGATTTGTTTGCAGCTCAGTCCATGCTGGGCAGGTGCGTGAGGAGAAGGAGACTGAAGAAGGTGTAGCCCTGGCACAGCTCTCAGAGGCAAGGCAAAGGTAAGCCTGCTGTAAAGCAAGATGCCAGAAGCACCCTGCGGACCAAAACCATTTTTGGGCTAAGGTAAATGCCACAAAGCAAGGTGTCTCGGAAGAATTGATAGTCCCATCCTGACATGAAGCTACTTGTGGCAGAAGGAGTCACTTGGAGAATGAAGCTGGGTGTTGGCAGCTTGTGAGCCGCAGCCAAAATTTACCGGTAGTGTGGACATTGGATGGCGGCAAGAGTTGAAGGCCCTGTAAAGCGATAGGGTCCCTACCTAAAGCGATAACCACGATTGATATATGGGCTTGTCGACGTGAAGGTCTTTTTGATACACGTGAAAAACTTGTTTTAAAGGATGCCTGCAGAGGTGCCATGCTTTGGCTTTGCCTCATTGAAATGGAGCTTAGCATTGTACGTTTTCGGCGTAGCCTGTGCTACAAACCAGAGTGCTACATACAGAGCCGGCTCTACTTGTGCCATTGGGGATGCTGGGAACTGTGCCAACGGCTCGGTGCGGAATTGTTGTCAGAGTCAGGCACATGCCTCTTGCGAAAGAGCCCGCTGAACATGCGGCGGGTCTTTGCGGAATCAGGCCCTGGCACCTGTCTTGTTAGATGCGACCCAAGTGCTACGACGTGTTTAGCTGGCACCTTTGCGTGAAGCGGATCTCCAGAGCACACCCTGGGTGCGACAAGCTTTCTGAAGCCTGCACAGGCAAGGACAAGGCACGAGAAGAGTTCTTTAAAGCAGCATCCTCAGCTGTCAACTCTGTCGGCCTTTGCGAGTTTCTCTATGGGAATATTCAGCAAAGGCAACCAAGGATGACACCGTGGATGGAAGCTCAGATGGCGGCCTAGAGCCGCATGCTTTACCGTACGTGCAGTGGACAAGGAAGTGCACTGGTTGACAGGTCATTTTAAAGGACATCGAGCACCTGAACACTTACCTGCAGGCAGACAAGAAGTCTGGCAGGAGAAGCCGCGCAGCACGAGTAGCTTCCGGATTGACCGAATCTCAGAGAAGCAACCAGCCACCCAAGTTGTGATTGATGGGTGTGTGATTTGTCTGCCGGAGAGGCGTCATGTCAAGACAGTTGCGCAGGATTTTGGAGACCACAGATCGCTATCCCATCAGAGAGCGCTTGGAGGTCCTCTCCAAAGTTCATCCTTGCTGTATCAGGCTGTTGAATCGTCGAGCATGCCTCGCAGGAAAAGGCAAAACGCGAAAGCGGCAACGCTACCAGCAGAGCAGGCATACTTTGCCGTCCCACCTTGTTGGCTTTACCTTCTTACCCGATCCAGCGAGCACGCCTCATGAGGCAAGCATGCATTGGATTATGAAGATGCGATGAGCGCTTTCAGTGACTCTGCTCGTTCATATGACGGGTCTCATAGGTGCAATCACCTATCGGTTAGACTGTCAGATTTTCTGCCTATTGGCCACAGACACTTATGCACGCTGCTCAGGCCAGACGTATAAGGATACTGTCGAGGAATTTGCGCAGTGGTTCGTGTACCTTGGCTATCACTCGCGAGTCCAGATTTCAATGGCATGTAAGTTGTTTCCCTGAGATTCTCCGACAGAATCAAAGAACAGCAGAACCGCCCAGAGCACAAGGCCAGATAACGCCATTGGAGGGTGCTGTAATCGCTATGACCGCGGCAGGTGGACTACATCATCAGCTGCCCGTGCTCTAAGCGGGACTTTGAGGTCTCTGAGTACTTCCAGGTCCAGCTGGGATAGAGCAGCTGTGTGCTTCCTCTTCTTGCATCATACCCTACCCTCTCTTGCTCGAGAAAACGCATGCTATCTGCTACAAAGCTTCTGAAAGCAATCCAAGCTTGCAGGACATTGGCAGCCAAGGCATGTCCGAGCAACTTGGCAAAAGCAGCTTCTGCTGGTTTCATCGTGCTTGCAATCTGAATCTGCTGGTCAGACTGTGTCTGCAGGTACTACAACCGATGAGGAAGTTCTTGGCGTAGGTTTTGACATTTTGTGGCAAGTACAGCCACCACAATACAGCCACTCCGGACGTCTGTGATTGATACGTCCACGGCGGATATCGGCGGAGATTTGCAAAAGAGAAGAAGCCTCTTCGTGTCTGTTGAGGTCCTCTGCAGGCTGTAAATGTTTTGTGCGACCTGGGCTCGTGGGAAGACATTATTGGCCTCGGGACAAACAGTTCAGCTCAGCTTTGGTGTGGAGGCCCTTTACCGCCGTGGCCTGGCCCAGTACCGGCTTGGGAATCATCGGCGGGCTCGCGCGGGCCTAAAGCATTGCAGACATGCACAATTTCTGTATGATGCAACTGCGCCGCCTGCAGGCCCGGATCTGGAAGCGGCGCTTCATTCGATCAGCCAGTGGCGAGGGAGCCAGGCGAATAGTCCTGGCTTGACAGACGTTTACATGAGCAGCCAGAGCGACGCAGTAGCATTCATTGCAAAGGGCTAGCGGGAATTAGAACAGTACAGGCACTGTTAGACGGAGTCAGAGGGTGCTTACTTTGAGCACCTGCGTGCTGTTTTGGAGTTTGGAATTTATTTGCCAGTGGATCCCATGGTATACGATAGGTATGGTCCGTTTATGTCTTGCGCTTTTCACCCATGCAGGACGGAGCTTCAGAAGAGGCACTGGCCCTCAGGTAAGCCGGTGACGGTGACAGTGACTGTGATCACAGCTCTGCTGCATGCGGGGTGAAGCAGAACTTCAGATGGTCTTGCCCCAGGCCCCTGGCATGAATGATCTCGAGCGTCGAGCCAGGCTCCCAGCAATTGGAACATTGCAGACCAAGATACCAAGATGCAATGCTTCAATACCAAGATTCGGCACTACTTGATAGATATCCGCCGCACCCTCGAGTTGGAGAAGGCCAGCAGCCCGAAGCTCTCCCCATTGTTTCTGCAAGTGCCGAAAGAATTATAGCAATGAAGTGCAGGCGAACTGCCAGAAGATCTTCAACAGGCCGGCCCCTGTTCTGGCATAGAGGGGTGCGGCTCACGTTACATTGAACACATTCAAAATTTGCAGAAAGAAGCTCGGACCGCCTTATGGCCCAAGCAGGAAAGAGAGCGAAAAACGCCTCTACGACGATCGGCCTGATCATCAGGAGCAGCAAGAACCAGAACAGGCCACTGACAAAGCTTTTTGCGTTGGTTAGACGGAAGCTAAACGCAGCTTGGCTCCCTCTGCCCGGCCAGGTGGATGACTCTGACGAAGCAATTGCTCTTTGTTTGCAGTTTGGGTGAGGCTAAGGCTAAAGGCAAACCTGTCTTGATTTTCTGCGGCAAGTTGAAACTTAAACCTGCCTGCACACTCAGCTCTTGCTGAGGAAGCCAAACTTCGTGCCCTGCGCGGAGGGGGCTGGCGCTGCTGCGGGCAACGGACCAAGTACCACAAGCAGAAAGTAGACATAAGCTCAAGTCAATGCTAATACTTTCCCAGTGCCTCATTGCCTCAACCAATCAATCAATCAATCAATCGATCAATCAACTTTGGGGCAACGTTCCTGAGATTCTTTAGGCCACAAGCTCCAAAGCTTTTGTGGCCGCAGGCTCAAGATCACATGATTGGAGGGATGACCACCCCAATCAACTCGACCTTTCGGGGTGAATGACTCTTCCTTGGAAGCCTTTGACAATGGACCAGCTGCTCAGATCTAAGCTCAGCACCATCCAGCTAGCAATTCAACACAGATTGCGTCAACTCACCTGCCTGATGGATGACGCTGTGGAGCGAAGAGCAGCGAGAGCATACTTGGAAGGAAGGCGCTCCAATTGCTTGGTCCAGAAGTTGTTTTGGAACCCGTGCTGGGGCATGAAATGGCAAGTACGCACTAGGCTTTTGTCGTTGGCGGTTTTGAGGGTGTCGCCATGGTTTTCTGTGTTGCTGACAGGAATCCAGTGTCTGCGAACTTCTACAATGGCAGCCTAGCAGCACAAGCCAGATAATTGATATTCCGCTGGGTGAGACCAGGAACCCCTGAACTGCTAGCTGCATGATTCATCAGATTTTGCCCTTTGCTTTGACAGCTGAGCATTATCCCTGCACGCGTTGCTTGGTCGCTGCCATCAGCTTGTGTTCAGGTGAAGTGTTATTCGTGGGAAAAGGTTTCTTCTGGATCAAGCTCCTTGAGCCTTGCTTGCAAGAGCGTCAAGGCACCCACCTTGGATGGGTCATGGAAGAATTGACCACAAGACATCAGTGCTGGCAAGGACACGCCTGGCACCGAGGCCGGCCGCTGGAGAACCTTTGAAAACCAGTATCAAGGAAACCTCCAGGTGGGTAATTGTCAGTTGAATACCCACGAAGGAGGCCTATGTAGCCTCAATACCCATTACCATCCATTACCTTCACAGCCTTAACATGAGCCCTGTCTCAGCCTTATTTGGGGGCATCTTCCTGATAACTTCCCACCTGCCGGTGTGTTTGACACTAGGTCTCTGTCTTGCACTAGTCCTATCAACGCGCTCGCATTGCAAGGTGCCGGAGGCAGTGCTCGAGCAGCTCACCGAGATGACAGCCGCATGCCAGACATGTAGTAGAATTTGCTGGAGATTTTCCAGGGCACGAGCTGGACTAAGCTTGATGTGTGGTTTGCCTTCTTGCAGCCGCATGTTGTGCAGTCAGCTCTGCATGGGAGAGTTCTTTGTAACCACATGCTTGCGACATGTGGGAGAGCTTAAGCCCGCTGGCAATTTGGTCTGAAGTCATGGACCAGGCGGCCGTGAAGAAGAAGGCACAGACAAAGTTCCGGAACCGGAAAGTCAAATTTGACGAAACCGCCGCTTAGATGCACAAGCATGGTTTTCCTGCTACTCGTAGCTCAGCATGAAGCTGATGGCCTGAGGTGCAGCGTGTCCTTGCCTCAGGTGTGACCTGGCAGCTTCAAACTGCATAGACAACCAGGACACAAAACGACACAAAGGTGGTTTACGTCGGTGCCCTTGACCTGGCCCCTGCTTCACGGCCTCTTCGTCCAAAACTCGGCATGCTAAAGGGCCTCTATCATCTCAACGAAGTTTTTCCAGCAGTGTCACTGCCTGAAGTCACCAACCTTGAGGTTGCGGTGCGCAGGTGAAGATGAAGCTGCTCAGAGCAATACGGGACGTGCTGCATGCCACTGTCATACACTGATCCCTTACTTTTTCGAGTGGAAAAGGCAGCAAGACACTTGAGTGGTCTGAGGCTGTACTCAGATAGCAAGGGTGTCGGTGGCGAGGAGGTGGAGGCGCGTGTCCTTAAAACTCAGAAGAGTTGCGTTTGGTAGCGGCTGTGAGGTGACCGCAGAACCGCCGGAAGTCCCCGCCAGGGGCTCTACATGGCAATACATGGCATCATCATTGTTTTCATTGCTCTCATTACATTATCAGAATATATCAGGCTGCATTAAAAGTTGCGGCCCTAAGGTGGACGCGGATGCACCGGAAGCCACAGTGGCTGGCCTCAGATAGGAATTGCTCACGGCATGTGGCCACCGCTCCGTATGGTTGGTCCAAAACAGGGGGCATCGCACATCCCGATCCAGAGATCCGGAACAAGTCGTCGAATTCCGTTTCGGACCCCTCCGTTCCAGACAACATAAAAGCTTATGCCGTGCCAACAAACCTCACATTCTCTTTGGTCAACATTGCAATCCTTCGTAATAGGTTTTTCGAAATCCCCAGAACAGCCTTATGGAATTCCAACAAGTTTTGGGCAAGATCCTCGACATAGCCTTATGGGCAGTTGTGGACTATGAACAGGTTTCCAGATCCCCAACAGAACCCGATGGAATTGATCCCCAACATAGCCCTGTTGACCTTCAACAGCCTTTACAAGATTCCCAAGACAGGCCTGTGGAATTCCATACGGTTTAGAACATCCTCAAGATGCCTTATGAAAGTTGAATACGACTTGACCTGCCGTGCTTGTTGCCAGAGCTGCAACATTGACGTTTGTCGTAGATCATGCTAGTGAAGGTGGTAAAAACCAGGGATGCGTTCCAATATCCCTTTCCATACCCGTTGCTGACCAATGCATGCGTTTTGTTCGGCTTGACTTCCCTGTCTTTGTTGGTTACTGGGAGGGCCCGCCCACACAACCGTTATTTTGTAGACATCATGCTCCCAAGACATATCGAAACGAAACGCCATCCAGACCCTTATGATCCGACAGCATAGGGCCGTTCACGCGGGCAAGTGGGTTGGATGAGTGAATCTCATAACTATAACTCCCATCATGGGTCCCCCTCTCGTGGTGGCTGAGGCCCCCGAAGAAGATAGCGAGGTCGGATGATGGTCAAGTAGCTGGAGTAGATGAGCTTCCATGCAAGCATTTGCCGTGCACGTAAGGGGGGCTTTGGTTTTGAATGGTGCAGTCTTGGAGGATCGGGATCGAAGGCCGCGGTACATGCGAAGCTTTGAGACCAAGGTCCAATGCAAAAATCTCAGCGCCGTGCTTTGACAGAATGCCTTGCAGGTCGCGGAGGAGGAGCGGCAGGTCTTGGAGCCTCGTTCGCAGCGCTGCACTCCGTGAGTTGGACTGTGCGTAAGTCTGTGATAAGGAAGGCTGCCACGAGGGCGAGGTCGTGCGTCGTGCGAAAACCTACGTTGCTTTGCTCATTGGACTCCATACCAGCCCTCAAGATGTTTTGAGTGGAAGATAAATCTTAAGAGTTATGCCGAGCTTGTCGGCACATTTCGGCACACCATGCGAGGCTTGGGTTCGGCCGCTCGAGCCAGCAAAATTTCCTGAGGAAGCCCGCATGAAGCTCCAGGAGATGTGTGAAGGGTGCCTTGTCGGACAACTGAGTGCTGGGAGTCATTCTGTGAGTGGACTATAACAGAGTAGAAAAGCTTTGGAGTGCTGGTTGTGCAATGAGTTAGATAGAGAAGAATGACTCCTCCGAGAAGCTGCAACGGAAAATCGCAAGGAGCCTGGCATAGAATGCAGCCCGAACGGAAAGTGGAAAGCGAGGAACATAAAATGTGAACGTAACGGAGCAGAACGGAGCGTGGACAGGATGAACTTCACCGCGCGTGGAACAGCACGCAATTGGGGGAACTCATAGGAAGCTGAACAGAGCAAAGGCATCAATGAACGCACATTCGAGGGCAGAACAATTCAGGGCAGCCTTTTTCGCACAGCTTCAGCTCATTTAGACTTAATCAGGGTCGCCTAGAGAAACCCCCAAGCAACGGAAGCGAGCGGAGCGCAACGGAATCGCATGGCCCCGAGCGGAAGTGAAAGGAGCGAGTTCTGCAAAGGAATGCAGAAAATCTACTCGTAGGAGGTGGTGGCAGATATCTGGATGTTCCGGTTCAACGTACATGTGCTGCGAAATGCTGCAAACATAGGAGGGTGAAAGACAGGGTCAGACTACTTCGGTGTATTAGTGTATTGCCGGGTGACGCCGTAGAAGAAAAAATACATGCCTTATACCAGTCTCAGCATGTCTCGCAATGACGAAGCTGCCGGCTTCATTTCCAACCATGTCATGAGTACACAACGGCTTCTTGCCAATCCTTTCTTTTCTGGAGGGCTTTGTAGTGGGGCATTGTGGCGAGCCATCTTAAACATGGTGCAGTATTTTATGAATCTTCAAAGCCACGAGATGCCCATGGGTCTTCTGATGCTGTACCGGTGTTCAGTGTGCTGCAAACAGCCTAAATGCATGATGTTTGCAGTCATGATGCAGAAGACCTCATTCCCAACAGCTGTGTACTGCAACTGCTTAAAGGGCAGCGAAATAGAATCGGAGGATTGGAGAGCAGCAGACAGAACGGAACAACACGGAAACAAGAAGATCAGATGGAATGGATCAGAACTGTGCAGAGGCAATGAAACAAAACAGAACGAACCGTTCTGGTGCGCAAGCGGTTTGGGCTGGGCTGTGGTAGCATGTCCAGCGTGTGACAGGCCACGGCAGGGTGAGGAACCCGGACAAAAAAATACGAAGCTGGTACAAAGCAAAGACATACAACGCCATTGTTGCTGACTTGTTGCACAGCTGGGCTGTTAGTATGAACCACCGAGTGGGTCGTCGTACTCTTGCCTGGGAAGGCTTCTTGATTTTCTTGAAGGGCAGCCACGTAGTGTGCAGAGTCGAAAAGCGCCATTGTCTATCAGAAGCTCCTGCGACAGGTTCCGGAAGAAGGCAGAGGACGGCGGACATGGCAAGCCCTTCTGCGGAGGCAAGCGTTTTCTTCGGCACACCATACACCAATGGATTGGTCTGCTGGAATGTCCCGCATGAGATGCTGCAGGCATTGAAGAAGATGTCGTGCAGCCCACCCGCAGACAGCCGACGTGGAGTGTTCAAGCATAGTAGGGATTGGTGCATGCTTCTGGATCTTTCTGCGAGATGTCGCCCAAGTTGATGCTCCTGGCTGGTCAAGGTACGTGGCCAACCCTGACCTTGTATCGAAGGGGACCATCTTAAGCGTGGGCATGAAGGTGCACAAGACGAGATGGCAGCTTTTCATTTTCAGTCTGCAATCTTCTCTGCGCTGCAATTGCGCTGTTCGTCAGGTTAGCTTCAAGCTGTATATCGACAACAAGGCTTGCTTGCCTAGCACCTGGCAGAGTCAGAAAGTAGCAGAGAGGAAGCTCCATGTCCAAGAAGTCTGTCCGAGAGTTCAGAAAGCACCTCGGCGGGCAGGGTGTGGGGGGATACGACGTGCACGCGAGCGAGGAGCACATTGCTTGAACCTCAGCCTGGGTGAGTCCAGCCTTGTGATAATTATGGGTGGTTGATTTGTTGACGTACAGGCCTGTTAAGATCAGGACTTGTTGTGGGCTGGTACGCGCCCTCGGTGCTTGCAAGATATACCCCCGCAGAAATTGTTTTCGCCAAGGAGAAGATGCTGGAAGCGATCCGCAAAAACTTCGAGACAGAGGACAAGTGCAGCCCTGTTCGGCAGCCTCTCAGTTTGCTGCGCTTGCTGCAGCTGAGGAGGGACGCGCAAAGTCACTTCAATTGCGCGATGCTTTCGGCGAGGCAAGGCTTTGTGTGGTCAGATCTGGTCAGCTTGCCTCGGTCCATGGTCCAAAGTAAATTGTAGGCTTTGCTGTGTTTTTAAATTCAGCTCAAGAGCTTCGTCTCTGAGCCCTAAGCGACCCTTCATCTCGTACCCTTGGTCGCATTGTCCACACTGGGGGGAACGAGCTCAAAAGCATCTACTAAAATAGATGTCACGCAAAAGCGATTCTTGCAATCGTATTGTTCCTACAGCATCCACAGGGTTTCAGCTCATGATGCGGCATGTCTATATGGTATCGTGTATGTTACATGCTGTGTCTCACTCCCGGACATGCCAGATATGAGACATTGTCACATCAATGCAGTTCTTTGCAACTCAAGGAAGGCCAGCTTTTCTTACGCTGATTGTTTACGTGCCATCGCTCAATCGTTTAGTATCGAAAACCGTCTCGGGTGGCCTGTTTGGTCCACAACGAATTAATCGGGAAATGGCAGTATCTCATCATCCCATGTTGGGGCATGTGTAAAACCAGAGTCTACATGGGCAATTATACGAAATCTAGGACTTAAATGTTGTGATTTTCTTCTTACACCCCAGCGTCCGCAGCAGAAGGCCCTGGAATCAGCGTCTACATGGGCATTACGATTTTCTGATGCGTACATATCCCGCTGATGTGAAATTTTCCCAATGACAGCATCTGCAGTAGATGATGTGTATTCTGACGGAGTGATGCATGCTAACCCCAGCGCTAGTAGCGAGTCTGCTCCTCACAGTCCAACTTGTGCTACAGGGCCTGTAGGGCCTGCACATGCTCAAGCATGCAAGTACTGGGATCCCTTTGGACCTGCTTGCAACAGCCCAGCTAGCTACTAGCTTCACGCTCTGAAGTTCATGGGCCAAAGAGCGAGGGTCTGCAAAAAAAAAGTCACCCCAAAACCAGTATGCTTCAACACTGCCAATCTCAGGTCAGGAAGACCTGAAAATTCAACAAATACTCCTAAGAACTGCAAGACCAAAGAAGCAAACGCTGCGCCGAATCCATTTTACAGTTGGCATGTCCGGAGGTCTTCAAGTTGGATCTTGACAACCTTGTCTTGCCTCCCCAGAGAATTGGAGAATTCAGTTTTTCTCAGGCCATAAAACTGCTCCAAACCTTGCAACGGAATCCTTCGTGAAGAAGCGTGTCATGTCTGCTCCAGTTACCGGCACAGGCATGAGCTGCAAACCCCAGTTCCTCAAAAAAAGGAAAGTCTTGGTAGACCTAAAACCACAGTCCCTGTTTCGAATACCCAACAGACGCACCACACTGCAAATCACCCAAGACCCTCTAGTTGCAAACCGAGTCGGTATGCTAAGCACTACCGGAAAATGAAATCGTCGTTAGCACAGTCCTGGGCATCCATAATAGGCCGATTGTTCGGCGGACCCGCGCCTCGGGCCCCCACAACCCGGCCCCCGCAGCCCGGCCCCCGCGGTTCTGAGCATTCTTTGGGATCGGAGATTTGAGGGGTTGCAGGTTGTTTGGCGTCTGTTTAGGGTTTAGGGTTTGGGGTTTGTTGAGGATTTGGGGCTTGTTTAGGGTTTATTTAGGGTTTATGGTTTGGGGTCTGTTCAGGGTTTAGGGTTCGAGGTCTGTTAATAAGGGTTTAGGGTTTGGGGTTGTTAGGGTTTAGGGTTTGTTTATGGTTTAGGTTTGGAGTTTGTTAAGGGTTTAGGGTTTGGGGCTTGTTAAGGGTTCAGGGTTTGGGGTTTGTCTAGGGTTTAGGGTTTGGCGTTTGCTTAGGGCTTGGGGTTTGTTTAGGATTTAGGGTTTGGGGTTTGTCTAGGGTTTATTTATGGTTGATGGTTTGGGGTCTGTTCAGGGGTTTAGGGTTCGAGGTCTGTTAATAAGGGTTTAGGGTTTGGGGTTTGTTTAGGGTTTAGGGTTTGTTTATGGTTTAGGTTTGGGGTTTGTTAAGGGTTTAGGGTTTGGGGTTTGTTAAGGGTTTAGGGTTTGGGGTTTGCTTAGGGTTTAGGATTTGGCGTTTGTTTAGGGTTTGGGGTTTGTTTAGGGTTTAGGGTTTGGAATGTCTGTGAAATTTTGTAAAATCAAAATCCTGTCTTGCAGTGAACTGATCATAGGTTTCTTAGTGACTCCCCCCCAGACCCTCCCCCAGATCAAAGAATATCTTTGAGCATGGGTGCCGGGGGACCTAACCTGAACTCCACTGCTTTCAAAAGCTCTCGGTACCTCAAGCCCTAATCCTGAATCTATTGCTGGATTGGGGATCACCTCCAAAGTTGGACTATTCTTAGGGAGACCCCCGCCCTGTAATAATGACTATAAGAAGGGTAGTGAGGATTATATTGGGGTGCTCCTATATTCCTATTTTGCCACTATTACAGGGAAGGGAGTCCACCTAAGATTATTCAGCTACTCACCACAAAGACATCGAAGGCACTGCTAGCCTACCGAGTTCGAAACTTCAGAATGGAGCTTCGGTAAACCTTGAGTCCAAAGCTGGGTAGCCCGTTCAAAAGATCTTGAGCCTTCAACCCCCAAAGCCTGCTAAACCCTGCACCCAGAAGATCAACGCTGCCAATCAAAAGCCCTGCACCCTCTAAGTTCTGAAACCTCATTGTTCCACACCTGAGCCTACACCCCAAGACCCCACATCAAAACTTCAACCCTCGCCTTTCAATAACACAGAGACTGCAAGGGCCTGAACAATTACCAATATTTAGGTACCGGTGCCATACTTATACCCAGAATCTAGGACCATAACATCAATAACCTATGCCCTCACGGTATCCTGGATGGGCCTGATGGCATGCTGCTGGATCACTCAGGGGTCTAGGGCTTCCGACTTTTGTGGTTCAGAAAGCAGGGTGGCTTGGGCTGACGCTGTCCTGAAAATGGCCACTGCAAAGGTGTAGTTTTGAGCAGAATCCGGCTAGTCTCCACGGCTGTACTTGTTGAGGGCACCTGTGAAACGTACATGGAAGCTCGGCGCTTCAATTTAAGCAATTCTGTCACGGTGTGAGCACATAGCTCTTTGGAGCTGGTCACGAGTGGGCCTCAGCTGTGCCCACATAGGATCATGAACCCAGTACTTACTAGCTAGGGAAACCATTCAACAGCACCAAGAAAGATGGGTCTAGGGTTCAGGATTAAGGTCTTAAGCAGCGTTCGATAACCGGGCAACCCCAAAAGTCACCTAACCCAATTCTGTACTCCTGGCAAATGAGCAGGTTGCTTTGCGTAGTTCTCGTCATAGTCTGGCAGGCCACGATAGTGGCGGTGGTACACGGCATGCGCGAAATCAAAGACTGTGTCCAAGCAGTCCAGTTTCACGCTTTCGGATGCTCCGGAGTGCCAGCTGGCGGTCTTCGATTTCTGCACGAATTCATCAATTCCTGGTTGGACAAGCTAGCACTCATGCTAGAAGGCAAACGAAACATGCTGAAGTGTATATTTGCATACGAAGTGATGACACGTCGATGCGCGGGCTGCCATCTGAAATACAAGGTAAGGAACTGATGGCAGCAGGGAAACAAACTCTTCAGGAGCTTTAGTCTTGGAGGCTCGTGGAGCTGGGCGCGGGGGCACACGATCCACACCAGCTGAAGGGCCTGGCGGTTCATCGCCCGTGGCTGGCTCTGCTGGGACCGGCTTTCTTGGTGGTCCGGGTTCTTCCCTGTTCTGACGTAGCTTCTTGGCTTGCAAGGCCTCGGTTTGCAACTCATCAATGGCATCCTTGCGCACCTTGGAAAATCCCTTGGCCTCGTCTTGGCCGACAGCTGCTGTCAGCTGCAGGATCATCTCTGGCGTCTCGCTAAAGTCTTCGACTTTCTGATTCAGGATTCCTGCGACCAACTCAGCTTGACACTCAGGACTTTCGTTTGGGAAGAAGTGGGTCACCATGACCTTGACCCGGTCGATTTTTTTCACGCCCTTGTTCTTGCCAGACCCTTCGTTGGAGGCATAATTCCGCAGGCACTCATCAACGCAGTTTTGTTTCTGATGGCTGCCCGAACTATGTCCTCGCCGTCTCCAGTGATCTGCAAGGAATCTGCGGCATCTGAGCATGTAGCTGGCAAACATGCAGGCGGTAGCACTTCGAAGGGAAGGTGCACCCAGGGACAGTCATCCCCAAGCACCGTGCAGAAAACAAACTTTGCTGAGTGCACAGACTCTGGGTCGAAGAAGAGCATGTCCTGCGCGTTGGCTTAAACCCAAAGAGCTCACGAACACACGAACGCCCAGGACTACCAGCCGAAACTCAAACCCCAAACAACAAACAAGAACCCGGGTTCTGTCGGCTCCCGAACGATTTACGGACATTTGGCACTGCTAGTCGCATTAACTGCCCCAGCCAAGTCACCTGGCCGAAAATCATATCAAAAGCCGCAGACGAAAAGAGCCTTCCAAGCCAACATTTCAATAACGCTCCTTTCCCTCAATTCGTTGCATCCGCATTGGGATGCCGAGAGCAGCCCAACGGAAGACACCGAGACTGAGCACGTAGTAGTCGTTGGTCTTGTGATAGAATAGCTTCCGCTGAGTCAGCAGCACGCCTCCCAGACAGAAGAACTGCACTCTCCAGAGTTGAGGGCTTATAGTGCTTATAGCAACACGACAATAGGAGCCTGAGCTAGCTAGCTAGCTAAAGGTATACTGGTTTGGGCAAGCAGCTTGCCCATGCTTTCCCTACGGCGGCAAAGTCAGAGTTGGCGCTGGCAGCGGCAAACGCCATTGCTGCGCTTGCGTGGCGGTTGGTGAGGTAGCCGGCCGGGCGCAAGTTTGGAACCTGTCCGGGACTTGGTATGTCACCAACATCTGTTTTCAAAGGGCTGAACGGTGACAATTGGAGGAGCTGCTGGTCATCAAAATTATCTTGAAGCAGCTTGTGGAAGTCGGCCGTGGATGGAAAGATTTGGTCCATGCCACCCTGGCGAACGTACGGGTTGACAAGCAAACACATCCATCGGCACTGTGTGGCAGCTCGTCTACACAGCCGGTGGCATCATGTGGCAG